ATCTGGTCCTCTGGACATTAAAAAAAAACAAAAAAAAACAAAGCAAATCAACAAAAAAAAATAAAAAAAATTGATTGTTGATTTGCTTTGTTTTTTTGTTTTTTTTTGAATGTCCAGAGGACCAGATTTAACTTTTTTAGATGTTTCTAATGATGTTATGTGTTTTATATTTTTATTCCATGTGCTGTTACTTTTTATTTGATGCTGTGATCTTTGTGTTAAGCACTTTGGTAACAGTTTCTGTTTTAAATGTGCTCTATAAATGAATCTGATTTGACTTTGGCATTCCACACAGTGTGATTTGATTTATTTTTTGTTCTGTGCTTTTATGTTATTCTTTGATGCTTTTAATTAATTTTCAGTACCATCATTATTTTTTTTCCATTAAATTACTTTCATTGATTTTTTAGTTAAGCACGTTGGTAACAGCTGCTGTTTTAAATGTTGTTTATAAATAAAGTTGACATGACTTTCATAAAAAGCAGGTGGTGCAGAGCTCACCCTCCACGCAGGACTCTGATGGAGATGGTTTCCTGCAGCTCCCAGGGTGTGGCGTCAATGACATCACCACGCAGCTCTATCCTCTGGCCGGTCATCCCCGCTCGGTCAAAAATGAACATCTGTTTGAAAAAAATGGGTTCAAGAGCAGACAACATCCTCAGAACTTCTGCAGGAACATAGACATTTATTCACGGCTCAGATTATAATTCCTATCCAGACCCAGATCCAGAAAAACCTCTGTTTGTACATTGTGCTTAATATTTCTGATCAGATAAGACTTGGAGTAGGGCATGTATCCAGCCGTCTCACTGATGTTAGCGTAGTGTTAGCATCAATTTTTAACCAAAAACAAGGTACTGGAGCAAGCTAACGCTAAAGGTGAGGACGGTGGATGATCACCCCCAAATAATTAATTAAACGGTACAAATCGGATTCCAAAAAAGTTGGGACACTAAACAAATTGTGAATAAAACCTGAATGCAATGATGTGGAGGTGCCAACATCTAATATTTTATTCAGAATAGAACACAAATCACAGATCAAAAGTTTAAACTGAGAGAATGTTTCATTTTAAGGGAAAAATCTGTTGTTTCCAAATTTCATGGCATCAACAAATCCCAAAAAAGTTGGGACAAGTCCATTTTTCCCACTGTGTGGCATCCCCCCTTCTTCTTCCAACACTCAACAGACATCTGGGGACAGAGGAGACCAGTTTCTCCAGTTTAGAAATAGGAATGCTCTCCCATTCATGTCTAATACAGGCCTCTAACTGTTCAATCGTCTTGGGCCTTCTTTGTCGCACCTTCCTCTTTATGATGCACCAAATGTTCTCTATAGGTGAAAGATCTGGACTGCAGGCTGGCCATTTCAGTACCCGGATCCTTCTCCTACGTAGCCATGATGTTGTGATTGCTGCAGAATGTGGTCTGGCATCATTGTGTTGAAAAATGCAGGGTCTTCCCTGAAAGAGATGACGTCTAGATGGGAGCATATGTTGTTCTAGAACCTGAACATATTTCTCTGCATTAATGGTGCCTTTCCAGACATGCAAGCTGCCCATGCCACAAGCGCTCATGCAACCCCATACCGTCAGTGATGCAGGCTTCTGAACGGAGCGTTGATAACAACTTGGGCTATCCTTGTCCTCTCTGGTCTGGATGACATGGCGTCCCAGTGTTCCATAAAGAACTTCAAATCGTGACTCATCTGACCACAGAACAGTCTTCCATTTTGCCACACTCCATTTTAAATGACCCCTGGCCCAGTGCAAATGTCTGAGCTTGTGGAGCTTGCTTAGAAATGGCTTCCTCTTTGCACTGTAGAGTTTCAGCTGGCAACGGCGGATGGCACGGTGGATTGTGTTCACTGACAATGCTTTCTGGAAGTATTCCTGAGCCCATTCTGTTATTTCCTTGACAGTGGCATTCCTGTTTGAGGTGCAGTGACGTTTAAGGGCCCGGAGATCACGAGCATCCAGTAGAGTTTTACGGCCTTGACCCTTACGCACAGCGATTGTTCCAGATTCTCTGAATCTTTTGATGATGTTATGCACGGTTGATGATGATAACTTAAAAGTCTTTGCTATTTTACGCTGGGTAACACCATTCTGGTATTGTTGCACTATCTTTCTGCGCAACAATGGTGGAATTGGTGATCCTCTTACCATCTTGGCTTCTGAGAGACACTGACACTCTGAGAAGCTCTTTTTATACCCAATCATGTTGTCAATTGACCTAATTAGTGTTAATTGGTCTTCCAGCTGATCGTTATATGCTCAATTTCCTTTTTCCAGCCACTTATTGCTACTTGTCCCAACTTTTTTGGGATTTGTTGACACTGTGAAATTTTGAATCAACATATTTTTCCTTTAAAATATTATATTTACTCAGATTAAACTTTTGATCTGTCATCTATGTTATATTACGAATAAAATATTGACATTTGCCATCTCCACATCATTGCATTCAGTTTTTATTCACAATTTGTTTAATGTCCCAACTTTTTTGTAATCCGGTTTGTACAAGCTTTGCTCATTCATCCATTTCCTACTCCACTCCTATTTCCTGGGATATCTTGCAAAAAGATCTGAAGCTCTCGACCTTGACCTCTCTAAGTGGCTTCAAACATCTGTTAAGCTCCTGGCAAAAACCAACACAGACCTGTTCCAGGTTTTTACATGGCCTCACATCTCCTTTATTTCACATCTATGCTGTCTTTTGTGATTGTCTATCGTTGTCATTGTTATTTACTTTTGTCATCACTCTTTATTAAAGAAATCAGGTCTCTCTTGTAAATGAGTCCCCGAGGCTGAAAGGGACTAAATGACAAAAACCCATTTCTGAATAAAAAAATATATTAGGCAAAAATTTTTCTCTTTGTGCTCCGGTGAAGTCAGATGTGTCTCCTGGTGCGCCGTCCCCCCGCTTCCCTGCTTGCTTTCTTTCATCTTGTGAACTCTTAAAGAGCCTCTTTTTTTCCTGCATCCCTCCTAATTCCAGGATTTGATCAGCTGGTCTCTCAACAAAATTGATCAACTTCTCCCGACAGGAGTCAGGGTAAGGAGGACCCTCTTACCTTGACGAAAACAAATTGGAATCATGATGACAACTAGAATTCTGCTGTTTGGGTTGGTGAAATCTGGATTGTCTACAAATTTGTGGATGTGTTGAAGCTTGGCAGCACTCAGACTGAAATATGTGGAGCTGTGTCAGATTTGGAACAGGCTGTTATCAAAACTGTGAACTTTCTGGCATCACCCATGAACGATGGGAATAATCTTGGAGAAAGCTATGAGCTCGACTTTCAGCATAAGGAATCAATTCAGCTGTTTGGAGTAACATTTGAATATACCAGCAAGACTTTAAAAGGCAGAAACAGCAATTCACGAGTTCTGCCTGACCCAAACTGTTTTCTTGATGGTGAACTTATCTCAACTCCTCCTGGCATGTTTAGGAAAAACAAAAATGCTTGGTCTGTCTCCTCACCCCTCCCTTCCCCGAGGCTGTGGACATGTGACAGAACCTCATCCGAGCTGATGATAAATAACACCTCTTATCTAGACAATGGCTGGGTGTGGGGTGGGGGGGGGTGGGGGTGTTCTGGACTATGCTATGACCTTCCCTTAAAATTCAATGTCTTCATTGGCCTATATGTACATGTATAATGTCTATTTATGTAGTAGGTTTTTTTGATGCCTCAAATTGTGCCCTGTCTAGGACAAGGTGTGAGAGATATTTTTTATACCATCTCTTCCCTTTTCTCATCTAAGCAAAATATTATTCTGAAGAATAATAAGAGGGCTGCACTAATTAGCAGCAGCTTCGTGCACTCCGCCCATCTTTCGGACGACTGTACGTACATGTTCTTGTTGTATCTCGGTGCAATGATAATAAAGCTTATTCTGATTCAAAAGTACTCATGTCAGTTTGACCCCCTGATCCAGATTCTAACAAGAACTAGAAAGTTCATGGAGAAACTTTAACAGGGACTGCCTATTTATTATTAATGGTAATAAATTAAATGTTAATAAATATTAATATTAATGATTATTTATATTAATGATTATTTATATTAATGATTATTTATATTAATAATAAATACTAATTATCAATAATAATTAATAATTGATTATTAATATATTGTAAATTTATTTATTATTGAAATATTAATAATTAATCATCAATATTAAGAATATTCACACCAATAGTTAGTATTTATATTAAATATTACTTATTAATATGAATAATTATTGATAGTAAAAAAGATCATTATTAACTTTATTAATTTATATTTAATATTTATTATTATTATTACAAATTAATTAATAATAATAGGTGGTAATAGGTAATAGGTGCCTTCCATGCATTGCATAATGCACTGCCTTCCTTGCATGTTGAACCAAAATGGCTCCATATGTTACTCAGTTTCTGTGAAGAGTTTTCTACCATTCATTTCCTATAGGACATTTGGCATATTTGTTAGCAAAATACATCGCCATGGTAAGTGTGAATGCCAATAAAAGTAATTGCACACATCCCGGAGCCGGGCCAGTCGTTTTGATACAACTTTTGTGGTGGTCCATGTTGCGATTTCGGACGCATTAAAGTTGAAAAAGATACACTTTTCAGGTGTAGAATAATAAGTGGGCAGTCACCAACTAGTTCCTGGAGTTGTTGTAATATTGCATCTTTGTTCGCAAATTACTTCACCATGGTAACTCGAAATGCCAATAAAAGTAATAGCACACATCACGGGGCCGAGCCAGTCGTATTGATATAACTTTTGTGGGGGTAGACGCTGTGGTTCAGGCCACATTAATGGAGATAGAAATGTAGACACTCTTCCGAGGTGTAGAATAATAGGTGCCTGCCATGCATTTGCATGGCAGTCTCCAATTCATCAGAACCAGCAGCTGTCAGAACCTTAAATGATCCGGCTTCAGCGATTAGCTTTGCCTGTGGACACTTCTTGTTCGGAGAAGGTTCTGGTGAGACTCACCTTACCAGGTCGAGGGTTGAGCTTCCCGTGCTCTTTTTCTTTGGTCAGCTGCAGAGAAAAAGACAATAATGTTTAAGATTTTATCCTTCTGGCTTCTTGAAAACCATTAGGAGTTAAAGCAGAAATGATTTCAGCTTGAGAACAGAACCTGCTTCCCAGATGTAGAACAGAGTGAAAAACTCATTCATCCCTGCAGCCATCAGGCTTCTCAACAAACACTGATGGTTTCTGTACAGATATTTTGTCTTCATGTCTTGTCTAGTATGGATGTTTTGTGTATCTACTGACTGTGAAACAAAATGTCCCATAGGGATAATAAAGATTCTTGAACTTGAACTTGTGAAGATTTGAAAGTGCTTGCAGGAAGCAAAGAGCTAAAGACGAGGTCTGATCGTGTGACTGTCTCAGGTGTCCCTGCAGGAAACGGGTCACTTATAGGATCATGTTACCAATCAGAGTTCTGCTATTGAAGCTCCAGTTTCAGTTCTGGCTGCTCCAACTCCAGTTTATCCTCAGAACAAGAAGCAGAAAAAAAAAAACAGATGCTCTACTGATGCAGAGTAGAAACTTTCCCTGCTGCTGAATCTAAATGTCTTTCTGCACTTCCTGTTCCTGGTCATCCTCAATCCACCTTCTTTCACCAGAAGCATGATGGCTCAGAAGCAAGAAGATCCTGGGTTCAATCCTCAGTTGGACCTGGGGTCTTTCTGTGTGGAGTTTGTATGTTCTTCTCATGCTCATGTGGGTTTTCTCTGGGTACTCCGGTTTCCTCCCATAGACCAAAAATATGCATGTTGTACTGCCTTCAGGCCCAGGCCTCCCTGCAAAAGAGATCTGTGATCTCAATAGGATTTGCCTGGTTAAATAAAAGTTAATAAATAAAGAAGCTCAGGACACAGGAAATTGATCGGGTCTTCACGAGGTTCTGAACACATATTCCAGTCTAACCGGACTCAACCAACACACTCGACAGATTCAATCAATATGTTTTTAATCAAACAAAAACAAAATGTTATAGCCATTAATTAAAAAAAAGGTTCCTGCTGCTTCCATAGAATCTCAGAGGTTCAGGATCAGCTGGATCGGGATCTGTTGATTAAACATAATCACAAGGTTCTGCTGCTCTGGATCAACATCACAAGGTTCTGCTGCTTTGGATTATCATCACAATGTTCTGCTGCTCGGGATCATCATCACAAGGTTCTGATGTTTTGGATCATCATCGCAAGATTATGTTGCTTTGGATCATCATTAATAGGCTCTGCTGCTCTGGATCATCATCATCATCACAAGGTTTTGCTGCACTGGATCATCATCACAAAGTTATGCTTCTCTGGATCATCATCACAAGGTTCTGCTTCTCTGGATCATCATCACAAGGTTCTGCTGCGCTGGATCATCATCACAAGGTTATGCTGCTCTGGATCATCATCACAAGGTTATGCTGCTCTATATCATCATCACAAAGTTTTGCTGTTCTGGATCAACATCAGAATGTTCTGCTACTCTGGATCATCATCACAAGGTTTTGCTGCACTGGATCATCATCACAAAGTTATGCTGCTCTGGATAATCATCACAAGGTTATGCTGCTCTGGATCATCATCACAAGGTTATGCTGCTCTGGATCGTCGTCACAGGGTTATGCTGCTCTATATCATGATCACAAAGTTTTGCTGTTCTGGATCAACATCAGAATGTTCTGCTACTCTGGATCACCATCATGATGTTCTGCTGCTCTAGATCAACATCAGAATGTTCTACTACTCTGGATCATCATAAAAATGTTCTGCTGTTTTGGATCATCATAACAAGGTTATGCTGCTCTGGATAATCATTATAAGGTTCTGATGCTCTTGATAATCATCACATGGTTCTCCTGCTCTGTATCATCATCACATTGTTTTGCTGCTCTACCTTATCATGTCAATGTTCTTATGCTCTGGATCATCATCACAATGTTCTGCTGTTATGTATCAACATCACAAGGTTCTGCTCTTGTGGCTCATCATCACAAGGTTATACAGCTCTGGATCCTCATTAATAGGTTTTGCTGATTTGGATCATCATCACAAGGTTCAGCTGCTCTGGCTCCTCATTACTAGATTATGTTGCTCTGGATCTTCATTACTAGACTCCGTTGCTCTGGATCATGATCACAATGTTTTGCTGCTCTGAACAATCATCACATGTTTCTGCTGCTCTGTATCATCATCACCACAATGTTCTGCTCTTCTGGATCATCGTGTCAATATTCTTATGCTCTGGATCATCATCACAATGTTCTACTGCTCTGGATCATCATTACTAGGTTCTGCTGCTCTGTATCCTAATTACTAGACTTTGCTGCTCTGGATCAACATCACAATGTTCTGCTGCTCTGGATCATCATCACAATGTTCTGCTGCTCTGGATCATCATCACAATGTTCTGCTGCTATGCATCATTATCACAATGTTCTGCTGTTTTGGATCATCATAACAAGGTTATGCTGCTCTGGATCCTCTTTAATAGGTTCTAATGCTCTGGATCCTCATTATTAGGTTATGCTGTGTTGGATCATCATCACAAGGTTCTGTTGCTCTAGATAATCATCACAAGGTTATGTTGCTCTGTATGTTAATTACTGGGTTCTGCTGCTCTGTACCCTCATTACTAGAATGTTGCTCTGGATCAGCATCGCAATGTTCTGCTGCTCTGGATCATCATCACAAGGTTCTGATGCTATGGGTCCTCATTACTAGGTTCTGCTGCTCTGGGTCATCATCAAAATGTTCTGCTGTTCTGGATCATTGTAACAATATTCTTCTGATCTGGCTAACGATCACAATGTTCTGCTGCTCTAGTTCATCATCACAATGTTCTGATACTCGAGTTCATCATCACAGGTTCTGCTGTTTTGGATCATCTTCACAATGTTCTGCTGCACTGGATCATCATCACAATGTTCTGTTACTCAGGATCATCATCACTAGGTTCTGCTGTTTTGGATCATCATCACAAGGTTATGCTGCTCTGGACCATCATTACTAAACTGGTGCTCTGGATCAGCATCACAATGTTCTGCTGCTCTGGATCATTATCACAAGGTTCTAATGCTCTGGGTCCTCATTACTAGGTTCTGATGCTCTGGATCATCATCAAAATGTTCTGCTGTTCTGGATCATCGTGACAAAATTCTTCTGCTCTGTCTAACGATCACAATGTTCTGCTGTTCTAGTTCAACATCACAATGTTCTGATACTTGGGTTCATCATCACAAAGTTCTGCTGTTTTGGATCATCTTCACAAGATTCTGCTGCTTTGGATCATCATAAATTGGCTCTGCTGCTCTGGATCATCATCATCATCATCATGAAAATGTTCTGCTGCTCTGGATTCTCATTGCTAGGTTCTGTTGATCGGGATCATCATCACAATGTTCTGCTGCTCTGAATAATCATGTTAATATTCTGCTGCTCTGGATCATCGTTACATGGTTCTGCTACTCAAGATTATCATCACATGGTTGTGCTGCTCTGGATCATCATTAATAGGCTCTGCTGCTCTGGATCATCGTCACAAAGTTCTGCTGCTCTGGATTCTCATTATTAGGTTATGTTGTTCTGGATCATCATCACAAGGTACTGTTGCTCTGGATCATCATGTCAATGTTCTTTGCTCTGGATAATCATCACAATGTTTTGCTGCTCTGTATCATCATTGCTAGGACCTGTTGCTCTGGATCATCTTCACAAAGTTCTGATGCTCTGGATTCTCATTATTAGGTTATGTTGTTCTGGATCACCACCACAAGGTACTGTTGCTCTGGGTCATCATGTCAATGTTCTTTGCTCTGGATCATCATCACAATGATTTGCTGCTCTGGATCATCATTACAAAAGTCTGCTGTGTTGGATCATATTCACAAAGTTATGCTGCTCTGGATACTCATTACTAGGTTCTGCTTCTCTGGATAATCATTACTAGGTTCTGATGCTCTGGATCGTCATCACCACAATGTTCTGCTGTTCTGTATCATTGTGTCAATGTTCTTATGCTCTGGATCATCATCACAAGGTTCTGCTGTTTTGGATCATCGTCACAAGGTTCTGCTACTCTGGATCATCATTACTAGGTTCTGCTGCTCTGCATCATCATCACAGTGTATTGCTGCTCTGGATCATCATAACAAGGTTCTGTTTCTCTGGATCCTCATTTCTAGATTATGCTGTTCTGCATCATCATCACAATATTCTGCTGCTGTGGATCATCACAAGTTTCTGCTGCTCTGTATCATCATCATCACAATGTTCTGCTGTTCTGGATCATCATGTCAATGTTCTTATGCTCTGGATTATCATCACAATGTTCTGCTGTTCTGGATCATCATCACAATGTTCTGCTACTCTGGATCATCATCACAATGTTCTGCTGTTTTGGATCATCATAAGGTTATGCTGCTCTGTATCCTCATTATTAGGTTCTAATGCTCTGGATCCTCATTACTAGGAATGCTGCTCTGGATTGTCATCACAAGGTTATGTTGCTCTTGGTCATCATGTCAATTTTCTTCTGCTCTGAACCATCATTAACATATTCTACTGCTCTGGATCATCATCACAAGGTTCTCATGCTCTGGATCATCATCATCACAATGTTCTGTTGCACTGGATCATCATCACAATGTTCTATTACCCTGGATCATCATCACTAGGTTCTGCTGTTTTGGATCATCATCACAAGGTTATGCTGCTCTAGATAGTCATTACTTGGTTCTGCTGCTCTGGACCATCATTACTAGACTGTTGCTCTGGATCCGCATAACAATGTTCTGCTGCTCTGGATCATAATCACAGCTTTCGCTGCTCTGGATCCTCATTACTATGTTATGTTGCTCTGGATCTACATTACTAGACTCTGTTGATCTGGATCATGATCACAATATTTTGCTGCTCTGAATAATCATCACAAGTTTCTGCTGCTCTGTATCACCATCAACACAATGTTCTGCTCTTCTGGATCATCGTGTCAATGTTCTTATGCTCTGGATCATCATCACAATGTTCTACTGCTCTGGATCATCATCAGAATGTTCTGATACTCTAAATCATCACATGGTTCTGCTGTTTTGGATAATCATCACAAAGTTCTGCTACTCTGGATTATCATCACAAGCTTATGCTGTTTTGGATCATCATCACGTTTATGCTGCTCTTGATCATCACAAGTTTCTGCTGCTCTGTATCATCATCACCACTTTGTTATGCAGTTTTGGATCATCATGTCGATGTTCTTCTGCTCTGGCTCTTGATCACAATGTTCTGCTGTTATGGTTCATCATCACAATTCTCTGCTGTTTTGGATCATAATCACAAGGTTATGCGGCTCTGGATCCTCATTACTAGGTTCTAATGCTCTGGATCCTCATTACTAGGTTCTGCTGCTCTGGATAATCATCACAATTATCTGCTGTTTTGGATCATAATCA